AATAAAACAAGGATTGTACATAGAACAATATCGGACCTCTGAAAAGTATAAGCATGCATATGTACTCAGTACTTGGTTTGGGCCCCTTTTGCAGCAATTACTGCCTCAATGCGGCATGGCATGGAAGCTATCAGCCTGTGGCACTGCTGAGGTGTTATGGAAGACCAGGATGCTTCAATAGCGGCCTTCAGCTCTTCTGAATTATTCGGTCTCATGTCTCTCATCTTTCTCTTGGCAATGCCCCATAGATTCTCTATGGGGTTCAGGTCAGGCGAGTTTGCTGGCCAATCGAGCACAGTAATCCCACGGTCATTGAACCAGGTTTTGGTGCTTTTGGCAGTGTGTGCCTCTCCATTCTTCCTCCAGACTCTGGGTCCTTGGTTCCCAAATGATTTGTGGGTTTGGGTTTGCTTTTTGCGTGGATATGTGGTGGTGACATCCTGTGTGGTTTTCGTGAGTGTGGGTCTGGTGTCATGCTTTGTGTTAGGGACTCGTTTGCTAATAATGGCCTACCAGCCATTTGGAAACCCGCCCTTATTAGCAAACGAGTCCCTAACACAAAGAATGACACCAGACCCACACTCACGAAAACCACACAGGATGTCACCACCACATATCCACGCAAAAAGCAAACCCAAACCCACACAGATGATGAGGCACAACCTCAAACTAGAAGCCAGTCCACAGCTGCATCATTAGCCACTTTAAACCCCTCCAATCCATACATGAAGCAAACTGACACCCACCATAAAGATGTGGCACGACCACGAACACGAAGCCAAACAACAGCAACGAAGCTCACCATCTCAAATCCCCTAACTAAAACAGTGACTCCTGGGTGTAATCATCTTCCCAAAAACAAACCGTGAACACCAGGAGTATATCAAACTATCAAAAAGTTTAATAACACAAAACATAAAACAAAACTACACCAAGCTTTCGTCGGACTCCTTCCGACGATGAAAGCTTGGTAACTCTTTTACTTACAAACTTGTTTGTATTAAACAGGTTATCCTGGTGTTCATTTTTTCTATATTTTATTGATATATATATTCATATACATACATACATGTGTGTGTGTGTGTGTGTGTATGTAGGCTGTTGGTTTGATCTCCAGGCTTGTTAATTAGGTTGCAAATGTTTCATCTCTGTTTGGGGGACATCTTCAGTGTGGTTTGAATTGTTTTCGGTTTGTTTGGAATGTTGTTTCTGGTATTTCAGGTGAAGTAGATCTCTCAACATCAACAACAAGAACAGCAACGACCAAACAAATCACAATTCCTTACATACAGAACATTTTAGAGATGACAGCAACTCTACACCAACACGACCACAAAGTAGTCCACAAACCAGACTCAACTCTCTGACGGACCTTATCAAAACCTAAAGAGCCAACAGAAACAAATTAAAGATCAGGCATCATATACCAAATCTAGTGCAACAACTTCCCTTCATGTTCGTCCACAAGGACTCAGAAGGACACAAGTTCAATCTAACCAGGACCACAATTATAACCCTAGCAAAGTCAAGGAGAGTAAGATAATTCCTCAACACCTGGTTCTCCACCAACCAATCCGTGAAACTCCTTCACAGATTTTACACATACCAGATAACAATATGTTAACAAGAAATCTCTTCTTCCTTTTATCTTCTCTATAAACAAATCTTTAAAGCCGTTTCATTCAGTTCTCATCAAGAAGAATCCGTTAACAGCTATTAGAAAGAACATAGTGTATCTCTTATCTCTATACCTATCTCCATACCTACACCTGTATCTATATTTATTGTATATCTATGTCTGTGTGTCTGTCTATGTGTCTGTATGTGTCTGTCTGTCTGTCTGTCTGTCTGTCTGTCTGTCTGTCTGTCTGTCTGTCTGTCTGTCTGTCTGTCTGTCTCTATCTATCTATCTATCTATCTATCTATCTATCTATCTATCTATCTATCTATCTATCTATCTATCTATCTACCTACCTACCTACCTACCTACCTATCTATCTATCTATCTGTCATCTATCTATTTAAGCTTGATCAACTTTATAAACCAACTTTATATTCCTTTTTACTTTTCAATATCTTGAAGAAATGATAAGTGATCTTCACTCACTAACTCCATATCATAATGACAGTCTGTTCACTGATTCCAAATTTTAGCAAACTGAATTAAATCTTTCTAAATTAGATTAAAAGGAACATTATAGTGAATACCCTCCATATTAATATCTTGTGCTTTTCAGTCAGATCCCAAAGAATCTGGATTGCAGCACAAGCTGAGTCTTTGTCAGGTCCCCAAATCCTTATTGTTTTCCCTGCATCTATACTTTTGTTTTGGGGGCCTGCCGTTCTGCTGGGGGGAGGGGGAAATTTGCTTTCACTTGGGATAACTTTCACTTTCTACCTTTCCTCTCCCGCCAATTGATTAATTATCTGGGAGTTGAAGTCCATGAGTCATAAAAGGGCCGAGTTTGAAGACTCCTTCAATATAGGATATCATCACCTGAGGCCAGGCCTCCTCTCCACTTACAACTTGAAGACATGTTCTTATCCTGCAAAGATTAAACTGCCAATCCTTGGGAGGAGAATTAACAGCCTTTAACTATTTTCCTCATCAAGAGGTGGCAGCTCATTTTAAATTTACGGTGTCCTTTTTTTGTTATACCTGAATATTCATATCATAGGAAGTACTGCTTCCACCTTCATCAAAAATCTAGGGCTCTAGGATTTATTAGGATTGTTTACCACTTGATATGGCCATCATGGTCAAAGTTGCACAGCATTTTGCAGTACAAAAGAACTAGCTAATACTAGCTGGTTGGTTTATTACAAAAATAAATGAATGAAATGGGTGGATGGGAAAAGAGAGAGAAAGGAGGGGGGAACCAGATTTTATTGGAATGGTGGTAAAAAGTTGTCACCCTAATATCACTATTTTGCATCTTAAAATTTCATTAAAATAATGTATTCTAAAGACACATTTATTAGAACTATATTTTTGTATATGGAGACAATATATATTTCTATTTAATGATGATGACAGCTTTTTAGAAACTTTGGCAGTTGCTTATAAAAATTAATTTTCTGTGTAGGTGGAAATGCTGTATGTGAAGTCATGGCTCTTTGTGCAGTGAACATTATGATAATATAATAAATTTATATTCATATAATATATGTAAATCACCTATTGAA